ATATATATATATATATTCATATTCACATTCAATCGCCTAAAATGCCTGGAATTGTAGCAGAACAGAATAATCACCAAAATTCTAGCATGGCTAACTAATTACGAATTCAGGATTTAGATTTTCTCATAGAATATCTGCAACTTCCCTTATATTGCAAAATAAATAAGGAAACTTAAATGTATTATATATAATATAAGCCATCAGTAAACGCTGTACCTTAGGTTCTGAAGTCGTTATCCTCATAGTAAGTAAAACTCTCTCTAAACTTCTACGAACTTCATCTTCAGTTTTGCCATCAATTAACAAAAGCTGACCTTTTGGCTCTGTCCAGTCAGAGAGTGAGGATGAAGAAGCAAAGATTAATGGTGCAAAGAATATGTAGAAGTGGAAAAACCAAATACTTCATTTGCATCTACTTCGTCACATGGACCAGAAAATTTTGCACCATAAGGAAATTATCTTTTGGTTAATTTATATAAAAAGACCAAATGTAGTGAAATGATTAGAAATGAGCTTGACACTGAGAAGAAATACTATATGCATGAGTTCTTAGGGTTTTTTATTTGTCTTGTTTGTGCCATCAACTTTGTGAATAATGTTGTTGTTATTGTTATCCAATTCTTGTTTTTTTTTTTCTAGATAAATGGTGGGGGTTTGTTGAATTGCACCAATGTTGGTGCTTTGCTCAATTTGGAAAATTATATTATCTGAATTTAATTGGTTGGAATTCATTGTATTGCTTCTTAAAGCTTTTATTGGAATTAACCAATTTGCCTAGCCCAGCTTCTCAAGAAAAAGAGGCATTAAAATATGAGTCATCAACATGATAGTTATACACCTCCCTTCCAGCTTTAAATCAGCTATAAACAGCCTTACTCATTCATTGAATGGTTTGTCACAAAAAGTACATACAATTAAACTGGAACAAGTGCAAACTCAAATATACAATAAAGTGCTCCAAGAGAGATAATTTCAACTACCTGGGGAAATGAAATTGCATGAAAGAGCAATCTGTATGGCAGTATTCTGTTTGTCTCCAGTCAGCATCCAAAAATTTATACCAGCTTTTCTCAGGGTCTCAATTGTCTCTGGTACACCATCCTGAAAATTTAAATACCAACAAAATGATCAGTTCAAGAATCCAAAAACTACCAGGAAAAAATATTCAACACTAAGCAGATCATCTTTCCACAATCAGCAATCACTAAAAATTTGAGCAAACTACATGTAAGAAGAATTATATTTCAAAGCTCTAAGGTAACATTCACCTGTAGGCGATCCTCTATGGCAGTAACTCCAAGAACTTCAAAGTCATGTTCTAATCTTTGACAGACCTCAGCTAGTCTCCACTGCAAAAAAAATTGTTATATTAGAGAAGGAAATGTATAGATGCACATAGATGTGTATCAGTGTATGTACATACCCAATCACAAATGTAATGGAAAATATGTATGTAACAATACATACATAAATAATCACATATTAGAAACACACATTCAGATGTGCACTTTACCTCCCTATCAACCAATGTGCTGCTAGCCTCTTTAAACATCAAAGACCATTCTTGATATTCCTCTTCTTTTAGTTCACGCCAAGCAAGACATAGCGTGCGCAATCCCAATTGAGCATATTGGTCAACAGCTTCAATAAATGTCCTTGTTTGCTGTCCTGAAGTATAAAACTGGGATTATTGAATGACAGTGTAATTGGTATACAGTAACAAAAAAGTTATTTTCAATCTAATTGACATGTCCCCTTCTCTTTTCTTTTTTTTGGAAAAGAGATGATCTGTAGTAAAGGAAAAAACTATGTACATACACATGGATGAGAAAACCACAGGTAACTTAAGAAATAATTAGAGCAAAAAAAACCTAAGTTGACAACACATTTCACATCATCAGAGAACAAACTGAACCACAATTAAACAAATCACAAGAAATTATCACGCAACCACAGCTAACAAATCCAACAGAATAGACAAATAAAGAATCCCCCTAAAGTCTGCAGAAACTGATCCCAACAATGCTGATCAAAATACTATATCTTCCAGACCTAACCCTTTGGAATCCTCGAAAAATCTCCTATTACAGTCCATCCAAATTACCCAAAGATTGCAAGCATCCAATCCTGCCCTTCCCCAGAGACTTGAAACACCCCTTCAGAATGACCCAGCACTCATTAATTTCCTTTCCTTAAACAACTTCCACCACAAATTTAAGGATACGGACAGTGGAGAAACACTTGATCCACACTCTTCTCATCCTCTTTATATGTACCAGTAAGGAGGAAAAAAAAATTGTAGGGCCTTCTCTTCTGTATCTGATACAGGTGTTAACCCTCTCACAAGCCTCCTGCCAAGCTAAAACTTTAACTTTCAGTGGAACCCTTGACTTTCAAATGTGAGTATAAGGTGGCAAGTGAGATAGAACTGCTCTGATGCATAAGAAGCTATTATAAGATTTGCAAGGGAATCTCCCTCACCAATCTAACTTCCAACTCCTAACATCTGCTATTGAAGGAAACAAATGAGCCCCTTCCAGTGAAGCAAACTCTTCCACCTCCAAATAATTAAGACTCCTCCTAAAGCCTAATCCCAATTTTATAAGGAAAATAAATAGCATCCCCATTTAAATACTTAGATGATGTTTTCTAGAAAGAGAATGCAACATGGGAAACAGCATCTACAGAGTAACTTCCTCCAGCCAACAATCCTCTGAAAATATTACCTTTCCCAGTTACCCACCACAATAGTAGACTATTCTAATCACTATAGATGACAATACATATTCAAAGGACACCCTAAAAACCCTTACACTATGAAAACATATAATCCATATAAAGTCTTGCAGAGGGCAACACCAGTTATAAGAATCAACATGTGACTGACTTGTCGGTTATCATCAAATCTCAGAACCTAGTAGGATAATATATGATCCATATTAAGTCTGCCAGGCAAGGCCAGTTATAAGAATCAACGTGTGAATGACTTATCATCAAATCTGGCAACCTAGTTTGGAATGGCATCCCTACTAATACATTTAACATTTTTCCATAGACAAACTTTTCGAAAAGTGATGAGTAGCACTAAGTAGAATTCTCAAAGTACATACTACTAAAAAGAAAGAAAAAGAAAATCTATTACCAGCGCATGCATGAGGGAGAATTGCTTCATCTGCTCCTTTTGACAAAAGGATAATCCTTCCATTTTGGCAATCCTTCACCACTACTGACATTCTTTTCCGATCAGAAGTGAACTCCAGAATTTCCAGGGCTTCATATTGAATTGTAGAAGCATTGAACTTGATCTCTGCAATTTATTAGTGAAAATTATATCATCTTTCCCACAAGTAGAACCAATCTACTACAATAGCCACAATCTTTTACCAAGAGTATTTGAATTTTTATTGACAAAAACCATATGTAGCTGAGCCGCAGCATGAACAAGAGCATCCTCATCTTGAGATTGCGCCTTGTACAAGATACTTCCACTTTTGCTACAAACAATAGAAGAGGTGCATACAATAAGTGCATCAAAAGTAATTAATGTATGCCTTTGTTTTAGACAAAAAATCTCAGTACCTCAAATCCAATCAGTAACAGAAAAATCTGAGGGTTACCTTCGAATAGGTATGACTGTATTACATATTGCCATAACTGTAAGGAAACGTATAACATCAGAAGAACCACTGGCAACAGCATTTATGAGCTCCTCATCTGCATGTCAAAGGATTGAATATATAAGAAACTGAAGTTCATACATTGTTCTGAAAATATGAAAGAGGTCCTCAAATTTGTCAAAAAAAAAAATCCATCTGTACAAATAAGAATCTCCTCTGTTTGTAACAGAATATGCTTCATTGCACTTAATGTTCCATTTAGATTGATCATTGATAGGATGGACGCCTAACAGAGCGACAATTTCACAATCCTACAGTAACCAAAAGTAACAAATCTTTATATAACAAATGTTAGACCCCCTAAGAATATCAGAAGGCTGCCTCACTAGATTTTCATAGCAATGACCAGGTGGAATTATAATTATAGATCCAACCTCATTTGACGGCTTTCTTCAATATTTATCCCAGCTTCTACTACCAGAGACGCAACCAGGAAACATGGAAAAATAATTAAGAGGAGACTTATTTATAAAATATTGTCAGCAACTCATGCCCTACATATATGATAATATGAATATTTCCGAACTACCAGAAGTCAACTCTTTAAGGGAGAAACCCATTTAGCCAACTCATCAGTAAAGGCATATCCAAGTGGCCCATATTTGAAAGTCATTCGTATAATCTATTAGCTATCTCATATATCGGGATAAGAATGATTTAGTTATATTTTTGCCATCTCATGTTACATAATATCTTTACAACAAATCTAGAGGTTCAAATACAACACATGACAATAAACAGAAAAGCAAGGAAAAGTTCCAAAAATAGAAAGAACCAAACCTTTTAAGGCATTCCCATTTTCATTCCCATAGAAAATCCCATTGATACAACATCTTCTAAATATCATTCTGTTTTCGGTTAAGGTACCCGTTTTGTCAGTCAAAATGTACTCTACTTGTCCCAGGTCTTCACTTATTGCTGTACTGCCACATGAAACATACACCTCTTATATACAATCACAATCTTACTTGATTATTTAATGAACTAAAAATGAGTGGCTTTGCTCTTTTAATACCACTTCAACTTACTTTGTTGCATGGGCTGGAGTACTCGTTTCTTGGTCAATCATTTCATTATCCCAATCAATAAACTTCGCATACAAGCTCTTCACAAGGTCGAGAGATACCTATGAGGAAAAAACATTTCATTATTTTAAAAAGCAAGGAGTGCAGTCCACAAAATTGACCTGCAAAAACTCATTAATAATCTGTAGTTACTATAAAGAACACAGATTTAGAAGCATTAACTATTAAGAATAAATATCACCTTAATAGTTAATACATCCAGACTAAGAAAGACATAACAGGCTTCCCCAGACAGCCTGTTATTCAAACTTACGCTGAAATTTAAAAAACTTTGTTCTTGCAGCAATTAATAACTTGTTATGTAGAACTCAGACTCATAACAGCTACAGTTCTTTAGAGTTGATAAATTTCAGTTCCTATGCTTTTTAATTTGAACTTATCTCCAACTACAAATAAAGTATTATAAAAAATATAAAAAAAAAGTTAAATTTCATTAGATCAAAACAAACTCTTACTTTTAAAATAAGTTGTTCTCTATATATTTAAAAAGATGAAAAAATCTTTTGAACATTATTTACTAGTATATTGGAATTTATTTTCCAAAGTTTACTTTCTTATAACTATTTGTTTGATAAGAAGTTGATTTTGGGTGTCACATAACCCATTCTTGTATGGGAATGAAAGATGTTTATTGACATTTCCTATGTCAACTGTGGGAGTTGGAAATCGCAAATTATATAGGAACAGGAATGTCCAGGCAAATTGTAATTCAAACCGATTTGGTAAAACCAAACCAAAAATTTCATCAAATGTTAACAATACCACCTAGATTTCCTGCCGAGAAAGTACATCCTTTAAGGATTGTTTGGCTCCCTCATTATATGCATAAACGGGTGCAGTTGACAAAACTCTTCTCAAAACAGTTCTACTTCCCTAATATTATGTTTGAAATTTTTTTGGGACACTATCTACGATTTGTAAGAGTTTTATGTCCATACATGAGAGAAAAGACCATTCTTTCAATATTTGAGAGAAAAGACCATTCTTTCACTATCCTATCAACTAATTCCAATCCCTGGGACACATATATTCTTGGGAACTTGGTAATATGAAAGCGAGTATGTCCTTTCAATCTATGGAAACACAATTTTACGGCATTGACACATATCAGAAACATCTGCCATCCAAAATGAGGAAAATATGGGGTCTTTGTAACTGTACTTCCTCTTCTTGTTGTTCATCATCATCATTATTTTGGTTGTGGTAGGTAGCAATTTGGTTTGTTGTCCATGCTGTTGGGTAGAGGTATAAAGTTTACCCTTTGAATTTTTAAATTTCTCTTTTCAAACTTTATTTATTTTGTTGGGTAGAGGTACATAGTTAACCCCTAGATATATTGTCCCTTACTGCACTGCCCACGAGTTACGGATTTAAAATACAAAACAGAGAATAACCATTTTACCAATATTCTGATTTTTACAAGCAAAAAATATCTCAGGGAACTAATAGTTAAAAACCAAAAACAAAAGAAAATAAAAGATGAAAGTCCTAAGATCTTTTTTTATAAGAGAAAGTCTTAAGCTCTTAAAAAAACATGTTCTTCCAAAACAGGCCTTGGCTGCATGTCAAAAAAATGGCAACATACTAAACCACGGGACAACAGTGCAGACAACCAAAACTATCAGCATAAAATTCACAAGCTTACCTTAATAGATATGGGTATCATGATGGAACATAGTAGTTCAAATCGAAGAGGGATTACTAATAGTTCGTACCACGGACCTTCCTCTGGGTATAAAACATACCATTGCTACAAAAAGAACAAAAAATGAAAATTGGGTATATGATTGATGATAAGATTCAATAGATGAGAAAGGTAAAAGACGTTTTAGAAACCAATTACTGTACATGTATATGAAAATTTGAGAAGAACAATGTGCTTTCAGATAGGGCATGTAAAAAACAATCAAATCAGAGTTGAGTCACTCTCGGCTAAAAAAATCAAGTAGACAAGATAATGCTTTAAAAATTGAAGATGACAATCCTCACAATAATACCACTGCAGATACACGCCCAGAATAAATTAATCAAAATCACTCAAAACATAATTTTGTCTGTCAAATCAATTCTTAACTAACAGGATAGACCATATTACTTCAGCTATTCAAGTGAAAACTTTGTAGGGAACAAAACTGGCCCGTAACTGTGGAAAAAGCTTGAAATCATCTTAGGAAACCAATGCACACACACAATTAGTAAGTTCACTGTTTAATTGGCAGTATGATTATAATTCACGAATGGCTCAATTCTGACCATTCCACAACTTTGAAGAAAATTATCTTATTAAAATAGACTCAATAGTTTTGTTATGAGAAACACGAATATTTATTTGTAATCTACAAACAGAAGTACAGCAAACTGCAGACAAGCTGCCCACTGAATACAACATCCATAACCTGACAACTTCCAAGAGCATCAAAACCAGTTTCAATTAAACCAAAAAGAAAGAACAATTCCCAATCCCCCTCAACTTCCATAATCCCTGTAGTTTAAGTCGCTGGTGATGTATTGAAACTAGTTAATGATAGACAAGCAGTGGCCATAAAGCGCTTCCTATCATGATTCATGAAAGCCTTTATTAGTATGATAGAAGGTGAACTGAAACTCCTATACTCAGTGTGTCATATGTGGTCATTTAGTTCACTGTCATCTTTGATCAATATATAGTCTGCACCTCTAAAACATGTAAACTCAACTGTTGCATACAAAACTAGTTTTTATATTCAAACACTCGAAGAGAATTGCAATCTTTCAAGTTGTGACATACCTTCCTTGCTTCTGTATCTTTCCATACATTACCAGCAACGCCCAGAACCATCACCACCACTATTTGGAAAACAAATATAGCTCCAGTCAACTTGTCAATCATGGCATCAACAGCTGTAAGCTTTGGCTCAGGTATGCCCCCACTCATACCCAGCTTGGTTTCATTGCCTAAAAGATAGAACAGAATTAAAGAAGAGATGTTAATCAACAACTACTTTAACTGATGAGATCATCACAAGCACAACAACATAAAAGGAGTACTTTCGTTGGATTTGGTTCGCAAGATAAAAACTCTTATAAAATTACGGTTGTTTGGCAAGAAAAGTTAGTTACAAAAATGATACTCATAACATTTCTTCTATTTTCTCAAAAAACCCATCAAATTTTCACGATAAGATTTGTGGGAAAGCTAGATCCTGTGGTAAAATTGTGTTGCATATAGCTCACATCCTTCCTGCTAAGCAAGACAGGAAACATATAGGAAAGTTAATTTCCCCCACCACTTTCCTTTCCTTATCAAGCAAGCAAAGCGCAGCAGGAAATGGATGAAAATTGAAAAGAAAAAAAAAGAAATCATATTTATCATGCTGGCACCAGGTAGTACCAAATCTACAATTGAAGGGGTAGGCTAAACTTAAATCGTGAAATAGCTAAGAAATCTATGCATTCCTTCACTGCATCCAACAGGATCAACATGCAACCCAAATCCCTTTCTTTATTTTACAGTGTCAACCAACAAAAAGTAGGACAAACTCATAACCAAAAACCTGTTTATCACCTTTAAGAGGTCAATTTCCCCCCACCCTAACTTTTCTTTTTTTCTTTTCAGTCAATTTCCCCCTTGAACTATACAAAACTGGTCAATATACCCCCTACCATCATATTCCTAGAAAATCCATCCAAGATGCAGTCACACGTGACTCACTTTTGATGGCCTCTTGGTTATTTCGCGTCATATGTCATTTTGGAAAGTCAGGTACTCATCACTTCCTCATTTTAATGACATTTAGGGCCACTATTTGTAAAGAATATGACATGAAATGACTAAAAGGCTTTCAAAAGTGATAACATGTAACTTTATTTGATGGCATCTTGGAAAGAATTGCCAGGATTCTGATGGTGGAGGGTAGATTGACCAGTTCTGTAAAGTTCAGGGGGGAAATTGGCTGAAAAATGTACCAAGAAATTAAGTACTCAATGTCAAGAAAGAAAATGTTTGTCAATACTAAATATGTTCAACAACTTCAATTCTTATTAAATTTTACACCAAGAATTAGAAAGAAAAAAAAAGTCCAGATAGAAGGACAAATAAAACAAACTAGCATATGATTAGCTAACTTGACATTTTGTTTATAAGTACTTGCCAGTGTAGACTGCTACTCCACAGGCCCACTCTGTATTCCGCAAGTAACATGACTGAAGTAGCGTGTTTTTTATGGTTAATGGGCACAGGTCATTATCAATAAATGGGGGAAACAACCGCAGATTTGCATCAAATCTTCTGATGTCCTTATCAGGATTAGGACACTCAATTAAACCCTGCATGGAAATAGTATTGACAAGTAAATAATAAAAAATATGATAATATATGATTAAATATACCAACAGAACAAGAAATCTTCTACTTTTGATTATTAATTAGGTATGTGAAAATCTTGCCTTAATTTTGTGCAACAATTCAAGATCTATCCCCATGCAAGCTGGGGGTATAACCCTGGTCTTCAGATCAGTTTCTCCATCTAGGGCAGAAGTCTGCAAAATACGCTATCTTATTAGGTCCTTCAAAGAGAGCAAAAACATATTAGGTCCTTCAAATACTTAAGGACATCATACTTACAACAAAGTAAAAGAACAGGGAAAAAATGTAATGACTTAATTGTAGAGTTGCAGTCACATTTAGACTTACTCAAATCATAATTCAGAAAAACTAAAAAAAATAGAGCCCAACATAAACTCTTTTAGAATTTCATCCAATTATGTTTTTCATGCTTGCTTGAATATTTGGTAAGATTCTAAAATTTTGGGTCCTCTTGGCTTTCAATGGTACTGTCTTAACTAATTTCATATATAATGGGAAACGTCCTCTTTGAATGTGGACCATTGATCATATACATATACAGAGAGCTTCCATTGAGGGATCCCTCAAATAAGCT